ACGGATCAAGCTTGGTCAATAAAGGTTCTTATATAAGTTTTTCGTGGAAATGTTTCTTGCGGGACAGAGCGGGTAGTCCCGAGCGGGCAAGATAGCGTCATCTTGCTCTCTCGGGTAGCCAATCAGAGCGCAGGATTTGGTTCATCTTCCCCGTCCACGGAGCTAGCCATATAATATGGCTTCTTTGGTCTCAACAGGTTAAAGGATGTTAAATTTCTTGCTTTAATTTGTAGTTCATTTGTATAGGAATGAAAAATAACACCACTGACGTAGTACGATCGGATATTTCTCAAAATCAAGCTACGTCATAGCCTTCCACCGCTTGGTAACGCCTACTAAGAAAAGCAGATTTATACATTAAAATGCTTCCTTCGCCAGTAACAAAATAATAGTCTTGTCCTGTTACGCTTCGATCGATTAGACTGGAAGAAATCGACTTATAAAAAAGGAGCCTAACAAAAGAGCGGGTCCTTGAAGCCACGTTCTAACGTAAACGTGTCTAAAAAGTTAAGATTTTAGGAGTTTCTATTGGCTATTATTGACACCTTTATGTGAATATCTAATTACGCCAAAGAACAGCTGGCAGCATAAAACATATGCGATATTAAAAATACAATTTATTTTACGATTCTCAATATTATCTGGAAACTGCACGGGCTATAAACAGGCACGTGTTAGAACTCTGTAATACGCCCTAATCTTGCATTGGCTCTTTATTACTCACCACAGCGTATTGAAGCCTAAAGAAACGCTAACGTTTTTCAGTGAAAAAGACTTCAACATTTGGGCTTTTCAACAGCCCAGAAATCCCGAGAAAGTTAACGAGAACCGCTTCATCAACCGATTTGCCTAAAGACTGAACTTCGGACCTTGTTTGAACGCTAAAAGTGAATTCCATAGTGATTGACTCTTTAACTATATATGTTTTTTACGTAAATCGATTTTGAAACCTGAAGATGTGTTTTTTCTGTTCTCGGTTGTTTCTTCACCGTCGTAGCCATTTTGGGAAACGCACTTGTAATTTACTTGATAATCACAAGAGCAAGATTGCATGTTACAACAAACTGGTTTGTCCTGTCGCTAGCATTGGCTGATTTATGCGTCAGATTGACTTACTTCCCACTTCTTTTTATTTCAAACTTCTTCCAAAAGTTACGTATCGATCACACGGGGTTATGGTTCAAACTAAGCGACACCTTCTTATATTCATCCTCTTCAAACTTATGTGCCTTGACGGCGGACAGGTTCTTTGCAATTACGATGCCTTTAAAATACAACGTATTCATGACAGGAAAACGATTAATAATATCCCTGGCTTCAGCTTGGATCGCTCCTTTTGTCCTCTTCACATTACCTTCAATTTTCACTTATTCTAATAACAATGCCTCTTTTACGTTTATCTTCGAGACATTCAGAGTATCAGTCTTCCAGCTTATCCCAAGCGTGCTGTTTGTATTTGTCACCGGTCGTCTTTGCTTTATAGCAAGAGACATCTCTCGAAAGGAATCACTGCTTTTGGCTCAGATCAGGTTTAATTTCAAGCCACAGGAAAATGTACTGACAGTAAAGAAGCAGAGGGAGAAGACAGCTTCATTGAAAGTGATTGTGTTAATTATTTTGCTTTTCGTGTTGTGTCACATGGAAGGAAACTACCGTTGCTTCTGTTTCGTTTTCAAACTTTGTGTAGCGTTTGCAAATTTAAAAGAAGTTATTCACGTTCTTCATGAACTCGGCGGTGAACCTTTGGTTTACGCTGTTTTGAAGAAAGACACGGAAAACGGACTTAAGAAGATTGCACCTGATAGACGTTGTCACTGTTGACAGTTTTCTCCATTTAATACAATCTTAGTCACTTGAATAACAATTGACTCGGAAGCAGCAGAGAATTCTTATGGATCTCATGAAGTTAAGGTGGCAATGAACACCCTAAAAGGAAAAACTGGTACACTAAAAACATTCTATGAACTTTAAGCCTCTTAGATATTTTACATAACGTAAAATATTAGCTTTCCCTTAGGGTAAGGGATCTTTCAAAAACTTTACAGTGCAAAAGCCAATATTTGGCGTAGCAGTCGAAAGCTGTTCAAATACCAAGTCATGGTTCCACTAACAGTCACAACAGAAAAGTTAGGAAGAATCAAAGGAATATGTCAATTTTACAATAAAAGATATAGTGGATTTTTTTTTCTTTTGCAGTGTAAGTAACTGATATAATTATTTCGATTGCAATTTAGAAGCCAGTTTATAAGCGTTATTAAAAAAACTGTATAATTATTTAACTGTCTATTGGTTTCATCGCTCGAAGTCATAACAATTTAAGAAGACACAACGTTAACTGACAAACACAGTATTATGCCTCGTAAAGGTTTGTGGAGTAGACATTAACTAATTAATAAATTGTAAAGAAAGCGCCACTTCATCAAAATCCTAACTAAGGAACCTGCAGTTTTTTCCTGTTGAAAATTAGCATAGGTACTCCATGAGATAACAAATCAGTCGGAGATCCATATGTCATTTTGTCTGTGCGACACATGTCCAGGAAAAATACCAGCAATGTAATTACAATGAGAAAAATAGTCAGACATGATATATATGGGTTATTGACCGAGCGTTAGGGCAAGATGGCTGGATATTGACCAAGTTCTTTTCTCCCGTCTTCATCAGACAGACACGGTGTCCAGGTCTATAAACTCGCGTAAAAAGAACGAGGCCAATATCCAGCCATCTTGATGGCCAAGCTTGGTCAATAAAAGATTTATTACAAGATTTTCGGGGGAAATTTTTCTTGCGGGACACAACGGGTAGCCCCGAGCGGACAAGATAACGCCATCTTGCTCTCTCGGGTAGCCAATAAGAGCGCAGGATTTGGTTCATCTTGCCCGTTCACGGAGCTAGCATATAAGATAGCTTCTTTGGTCCAAGCAGGTTAAAGGATGTTTAATTTCTTGCATTAATTTGCAGTTTATTTTTAAAGAATGCAGTTAAGACCACTGACACAGTACGATCGGATATTTCTCAAACTCAAGCTACGTCAAAGCCATATTATTCCTTATAATCGATCAAATAAAATTGGGCAATTTTCAGCCAAAATTGGGCAATTTTCAAAAGCGCACGTGTTGCGAAAAATATTTGAAGGATAATAAACACAAAAGCCTTTGGCCTTGGACACTATCTCTGCCTCAAAGCTCACAGTTTTCCTCGAACTACGCTCTCAGAAAACTATTTGCTTCTCCGAATAGGAAATATCCGGGGACAAATATCCGAGCATATTTTCGCGCCAAAAGGAGGTTATTGTCTATATATATCCACCGCTTGGCAATGCCTACTAAAAAAAAGCAGACACTAATGCTTTCTTCGTTTTACAGAATAATAGTCTTGTCCTGTTACGCCGCTATCGATTAGACTGGAAGAAATCGACTTATCAAAAGGAGTCCAACAAAAAAGCGGGTCCTTGAGTATTGTTTGTAACAGCCTCCTTAAAGGAGCCACGTGGTAACGTAAACGTGCACGTCTAACAAGTTGAGAACTTAGGAGTTTCTATTGGCTATTATTGACACCTTTAAGTTAAAAAACTAATTACACCAAAGAACAGCTGGCGGCATAAAACGTATGCGATATTAAAAATACAATTTATTTCACGCTTCTCAATATTATCTGGAAGCTCCACAGGCTGCGGATGGCTTGTTTTTCTTCGCGGACAAGCTAAACAGGCAAGTGTTAGAACTGCGTGACCCGCTCTAATCTTGTACTGGCTCCTCAGCGTATTGAAGCCTAAAGAAACGCCAACGTTTTTCAGAGTAAAAAAGATTTCATCGTTTGTGTTTATAAACAGCCCGATATCCTAACAAAGTTGTCAACAGAGGACCGCCTCATCAACCGATTTGACTACAAAACTTCGGACCCTGTTTGAACACTCAAAGTGGATTCCATAGCGACTGAGTCTTTTCAGTATACATGTTCTTTTTCCTATATAGACATTTAAAGCTGAAGATGTGGTTTTTTATTCTCGGTTGGTTCTTCACCGTCGTAACCGTTTTGGGAAACGCGCTTGTAATGTACTTGATAATCACAAGGGCAAGATTGCATGTTACAACAAACTGGCTTGTCCTGTCGCTAGCATTGGCTGATTTGTGCGTTGGATTGACTTACTTCCCACTTCTCTTCATTTCAAACTTCTTCCGAGAGTTACCCATCGATCACACGGGGTTATGGTTCAAACTCAGCCATACCTTTTTATATTCCTCATCAACAAACTTATGTGCCTTGACGGCAGACAGGTTCCTTGCAATTACGATGCCTTTAAAATACACCGTATTCATGACGGAGAGACGATTGATAATATCCCTGGCTACAGCATGGATCGCACCATTACTGCTCTTTACAATACCTTCAATTTTTACTTATTCTAATAACAATGCATCTTTTACGTTTATCTCCGAGACATTCAGAGTATCAGTCTTCCAGCTTATCCCAAGCGTGCTGTTTGTATTTGTCACCGGTCGTCTTTGCCTCATAGCAATAGACATCTCGCAAAAGGAATCGCTGCTTTTGGCTCAAATCAGGTTCAATTTCAAACCACAGCAAAATGCACCGACAATAAAGAAGCAGAGGGAGAAGACAGCTTCAGTGAAAATGATTGTGTTAATTATTTTGCTTTTCGTGTTGTGCCACATCGGAGGAAACTATCGTTGCTTCTGTTTCGTTTTCAAACTTTGTGTCGCTTCGGAAAATTTGAAAAACGTTATTCACGTTCTTTTTATCGTGAACTCGGCGGTGAATCCTTTGGTTTACGCTGTTTTGAAGAAAGACATGAAAAACGAACTTAAGAGGATAGCATTAGATAGACATTGTCACCGTTGACACTTCAATAAAACTTGAGAAGCGGCGATCTCATGAATTTAAGGTAGCAATGAACTCATTTAAAGGAAAAAAAACAGTGGTAGACTAAAAACATTCTGTGAACTTTAAGCCTCTTAGATAGTTTTTATAAAGTAAACTTTTGTTTTTCCCTCAAGGTACGTGGTCGTTCAAAAAATTTATAGTGCAAAAGCCAATACTTGGCGTAGCAGTCGAAAGCTGTTCAAATACCGAGTCATGGTTTCAGTAGCAGTCACAACAGAGAAGTTAAGAAGATTTAAAGGAATATATCAATGTTACAGTAAAAGATATAATGAAGTTTTTCTTTTGCAGTGGAAGTAAGGGATATGGTTATTTTGATTGCAACTTAGAAGCAAGTTCACAATTGAGCGTTGATGAAAAACACTGTACAAATAATGTCTAGCGGTTTCATCGCTCGTAGTCATAACAATTTAAGACGTAACAACGTTAATTAATTGACAAACACAGTATTATGGCTCGTAAGGGTTTCTAGAGTAGACATTAGTTAACAAATTGTAAAGAAAGCGCTCGATCATGAAAACTGTAACTAAAGAACCTGCAATTTTTTTTCTATGGAAAAATTAGCATAGGTACTCTATGCCGTGAGATAACAGATCAGTCGGAAATCAACATGACATTTTGTCTGCACGACACATGTCGAGGAAAAATACAAGCAATATAATTATAATGAGCAAAAATAGTCAAACGTGATATATATGGGTCATTGACCGAGCGTTAGGGCAAGGTGGCTGGATATTAATCAAGTGCTTTTCTCCCGTCTTTATCAGACAGACAAGGAGTCCAGGTCCATAAACTCGCCTAAAACAAACGAGGAGGGCATCCAGCCATCTTGACGGATCAAGCTTAGTCAGTAAAGGATTTCATATAAGATTTTCGAGGAAATGTTTCTTGCGGGACACAGCGGGTAGTCCCGAGCGGGCAAGATAGCGCCATCTTGCTCTCTCGGGTAGCCAATCACAGCGCAGGATTGGTTCATCTTGCCCGTTCATGAAGATAGCCATATAATATGACTTAGGGTACGTGATCTTTCAAAAAATTTACAGTGCAAAAGCCAATACCTTGGCGCAGCAGTCGAAAGCTGTTCGATACCGAGTCATGGTTTCTGTAGCAGTCACCACAGAGATGTTGGGAAGAATTAAAGGAATTTGTCAATGTTACAATGAAAGATATAATGAAGTTTTTCTTTTGTAGTGTAAGTAACTGATATAATTATTTCGATTGCGACTTACAAGCAAGTTCACAATTAAGCGTTCATGAAAAACGTACTGTACAATATTATTTTACTGTCTAGTGGTTTCATCGCTCGTAGTCATAACAATTTAAGAAGACACAATGTTAATTAATTGACAAGCACAGTATTATGGCTCGCAAGGGTTCCTAGAGTAAAATTAGTTTAAAAAATTGTAAACAAAGCGCTTGATCATGAAAACCCTAACTAAAGAACCTTCAGTTTTTCTTGTATTGAAAATTAGCATAGGTACTCCAGGAGATAACACATCAGTCATTTTGTGACATGTCATTTTGTCTGCACGACACACGTCGAGAAAAAATACCAGCAATATAATCATAATGAGAAAAATAGTCAAACATGATATATATAGATTATTAACCGAACGTTAGGGCAAAATGGCTGGATATTGACTAAGTTCTTTTCTCCCGTCTTTATCACACAGACACGGAGTCCAGGTCCATAAACTCGCCTAAAAAGAGCGAGGCCAACATCCAGCCATCTTGACGGAACAAGCTTGGTCAATAAAAGATTTATTACAAAATTTTCGGGGAAATGTTTCTTGCGGGACGCGGCGGGTAGTCCCGAGCGGGCAAGATAGCGCCATATTGCTCCCTCGGGTAGCCAATCAGAGCCCAGGATTTTGTTCATCTTGCCCGTTCACGGAGCTAGCCATATAATATGGCTTCTTTGATCCAAGCAGGTTAAAGGATGTTTAATTTATTGCATTAATTTGCAGTTTATTTGTAAAGAATGCAGTTAACACCACTGACTTAGTACGATCGGATATTTCTCAAACTCAAGGAC